TTTGCACTACATTCTATTACTTGTTTAAATAATCGAATGATTAACAGTTTGCCTAATATTTTAGAATATCATTGTAGGGTTGTTTTGAATATTCTGGATATGATTTTTATGGTTAAGTTAATGAAAAACCAAAGAACGAGGCATATGAACGTTTATTTGGTAAGTAGAACTTTTCTACAGGTAAGTAACTCTATGCATTGTAATTGTTCCTCGCATCTTTATCTACTTACACTACTGAACTACGAAGTAGTAAAATCAACGCATGTTACTCCTAGTAGATACGTATTATGTGGTATTTAATCACACAAAGACCACAAATTAATAAAAAACTAACTTTGATAGATTATGTTTTACTATAAACTAATACCACGCAGAAAAAGATTGTCGAAAAATAACATTTTGAACATTTGTATTGTACAATTCATTTTGCATAAAAATAAATTGTTCGTGTTTATTCAGTGCCCGTTACGTTTTTGGATGCCAAACTGCAACATACAAGTTGTAGATAAATTACAGATAACCCACCCCGTTCACAAATTTTCTTTTCTTTATACACGACATGAATGTATAGTCATATCATATTTTCGTATTTTCAATAATGAAAATAATAAACTGACTGTTTACGTTGTCTAAATAATTCTTATGTGTGTATTCAATAAATAACATCGATTGTGTGTAAATTTTGCGTTTATTATTTCACTATTTTATTATTTAAAAGATATAAAAAATATATTTGCGCTGGCATATATAATTAATAATAATTGTATACCTGTATCTAATCTTAGTATCACAATTAATGTGATATTAAGATTTAATGGTCACATAAGGTTAGCTATAAAATTAATTTTCTTCAATTCCTATAAATTGAACTATATAAAAACATAATTACTTAAAAACTATTTGAATACTACACAATCATCTCTATCTATTTTATTCAAAAACACATTCTATTTTTCCAAAAGCCTAGCTACACAAATCCATTGAAACATTGTGCAAAAGCAAACAAGATAAACAATTGGTACCTCAACAAATCTTAATCTCAAAAAACAAAATTCGTTTTAAAACGCGGTAACACTATCAACCCAGCTCAAACAATAAAACCAAAAGATCTCTTCGTATTTTAAACCCTCCAATTTCCATAGTCAAAACCCTATATAACTTTAATCCCTAACTAATAGAAATCCAAATTCAAGGTAACCTAAACCAATTATGTCATTGATTAAATACATTGACTTTCCTCATTATTTCATACGAATAACAAACACGAAAAGACTTTCCGCTACCTCGAATAAATCCCTCCAATAAAGGGAAGAACAATAACAAAAAACAGAAATTCACCAGTAACGGAAACGTAGCCAAGAATAACGATGTCCCAGGATAACTTACAAATTACATATTACAAAGGTGCAACGTCAGCTTGATATTCATCGAGAATTACGTTGTTTTGCCTCGCGGCGACAGATTCGAGGATAAAGATCATATTTCTCGCACGTTGATGCCTTAAGTACCTTTGACATCACCACTTTTGCAAGGGAGACGATAGCTCGCCGACTACGCTCGAAGCTTCGTAATCGTGCCTCCCTCTGCTCGCCGACAACCCCCTCCCAGTCTTCCGCTGACTGTCTGTGCCTATGATTCCACCCCTTGCAAGAGACTCGATCGATGGAGCATCGTCCGCGGTGACTAACCCGTCGACGGGCTCCCTTGCTCGTCAGGTAATCCACTGACGCGCTCTCGTGCACGCAAGCCGGGCACACAGAGGCATACAAACGTGCCTTTGAGCGATGAGGATTGAACGAAAGGAGAAACAAAAGGTTTTAGATGTGTCCACCAGAAGAAAATTAATTACCAGACCGCGGGAAGCTTGCGCGCACACGCGCATCATTATAAACGGATCTACGGCGAAATTCAGACGGAAGACAATTCTGTGAACGGTGTTAATGTTGTGGGAAACCCTGAGAAATATACAGGGTGGAGTAAAGGTCGCGAAGAAGTTTGCGAGAATTGTTACTTGAAAACTACTTGAGTCGAAATTTATTTATTTGGAAGATATTAACATTGGGTTTGCGGATATTTACTGTATAGCTTATTCCACTGTTTTCATGGGAATTGATGTTTATTTGGATCTTGGGAATTAGAGGTTTACAAATAGACAATTGTAATATAGATTCGTGTAATTGCATTACTCAAAATTGATGTTTATATGTAGTAAATAATGTTTATAAAATTCAGTGTTAAATTGGCACATACTGTAAATTTAGTGTTAAATTATAAAAATTAAATTTTATTAGAATAATAATAAGTAAAATAAATATAAAACGTTGAATTCTATCGCTATAAATTTCTTTAATTCATTTCCCTAAAAATAGATACAAGTTTACAACCAACAACATTGAAAATAAATTGAATGCAAAGAGTTAAAATACTATCCTTGGAAACTTTTTCATTTGTGTACGAATGATCCTATTTTCATTTAATTTCGAAGTCACGAACGTTTTCTTTGAATCAAAGCATAAATTTTGGTTGCATTAATTGGTGCAACTTATCATTCTCTATAAGATAAGTATTTAACCTGTTAGCATCTAGAAGTAATTAGTTTAGGAATATTAATAATAAAAGGTTTACCTTCTGAAATTTGGCGTTTAAAAGTACACGTATTAAAATTACAAATTTACATACCTATACCTAGAATTTCAATGGAACATAGAAATAGGTACACAAAGCAGTTTAATTTTCTGATTACACTGGCTTTATTATTACTTTATATTGGCTATATCGTACCTTCAAATATACATTTTTCTCCGATTGTATTTTCATACTTTTGCAAATTGTCAAAATAAATTTGCACAACGAATTCTTCACACGAATCCAAATATTTTCGTTTCTTAGGGTACTGGTGGAGTAGAGATTACGCAAGCCAACACAGGTACGAGATAAGATTATAGGAAGGAAAAAGAAAAGAATTCTTTTGCCGTCCTGAAAATTCTATAACGCATTCCCCGGGGAAATCAGGTATACGATGGCCTGTACAGAAGGTCGTCGGATCGTTTTCTGACTACACAAAGTTATCCCTCAAATGTGCAGATCATGAAAATGTTCACGGAACGATGTAGACCATTTTATACAATAAACGAAGCTCAGACGCTGTCGGGCCAACAAACAGACGTTTATCAAATTACAACAGGCTTAAGGAAGTTAATCAAATGGTCAATGTTACCAGCAACTTTACCTGCATTATTTTATATTTTTACAAAACTAATCGTTAAATTTTCAATATAATGGAATTTTCGTCTGACGATATTGAATAAAAAAAAATGCGAATAAAATGATAGAATCTACATCTGAAATTAAATAATTGTGAGATAAATGTTAACATATATCATTTTTATTCCAAAATCAGTTTTGTTATAATAATTAAAAGATTTAATTAGTTTTTGAACTAGCAAACAATAAAAAATTGTATTCAGTAGTATCCTACTCATGTACAATGACAGAAGAATACTACAATAATTGGAAAATTATAATAAGATATTTAATATAAATTTTTATTTTTTATCATAATATAAAAATAATAGTGAAGACGTTCATAATGATTAGTGAAATTTGTCAGTACACATTTTTCCCAGTTTGTGTATTAAATATCTGTAAATACATATCATTTTCACTGACAGTTGTCAATTATGATTACAAATTTCGTAATTAATATTTCATTCTCCACGATGTTTTGTATATTATACTTTGGGAGCACCTCTCACCATTTCGGTTTCCATGTTCAATACTGACAACACCGTAAAAGTTACTGTCTATAAATATACATTTTTTATACTACTATCTTTATTTTTATAATTCAACAACTGACTGTTTCATTTGGTCACAGTTCGCTGGTGCCATCGACGAAGAACAGGGTGGACTTGATACATTATGAGACTTCGTGTCCGACGATTTATAGTACCAACCGTGTCAAAAAATACAAATTTTGTTATATCCTATACAATTTAAAATAGCGAATTTAAACATTATATTCAATTATTTGTTTATAACGTATGTATTAGGTCTCTTGATTACAACGAATCAGTCGAATGATTAAAATCTATCCTTTGTTCAGTGGCGCCATCAGTGGCAAAATTGTTAAGCTTGCAGTACAAACCACGGACTTAAAATACATAGACGTTGATATTGGATGCATAAACGTTGCAATTTATGGGAATTTTTATGTAGAGCTTTGGAAGCTTGAGACCATTGTACCATTTTAGTGTCGCGCTCGATGTTACTAATCATATAAAATTTTAGGCTTACCGTAGAAATCAAATTAACTATACTTTGATTTATGAAAGAAATACGTGTCCTTAAGTCTGTTCCAATATTTTTGATTCTAATTCCTATTACTGATAGCGCTGCCGTGCAAAACCAGCCTAAGTCGATATGACAGAGCGTGACACGAAAAAGGTAAGTGTAACAAAATTTTACATTGCATATTCAGTCTACCTTATATTTCATCGGTGGTTCTATCCTGTCTCTCGTTGATGGTCGGAGTATTTTTGACAGCGTCGGTAATTCAGAACAGTGGATGCAATTGTGATATAGTACATTGTATGCATTGTTTGCACGGACCTTAAGTCTGTGGTATTTAAAACTGATAGAATTGTAACATTAAGCAACGGTAATATTTCTCAATACTGAAGGAAGAAAAGTGAATACGAGCACCCTTTGTAATAGGAAAATGAACTTTTTCTGCAACAATGCTATTACTTGTTTATCTTTATTGTATATGTATATACATATGTATCTTAAAATAATAATATAAACATCAGTGTTGTTTAAGTAAATATTTGACCAATAAATACATTATACAATGACATGAAGAATAATTAATTTTGTTTATGAATACAAATATATTTATATTTAAAATCGGTATCTATATCATCGATCTAAGATTTGTTTACAGGAAATATATATGACGTTGGCGTTAGTGACGTTGCTGACGGTTAAGTACAAAAGAAAAATTAGAATACAAACTACCATATTATCATGTCATGGCATATAGTGAGTTCACATAGGTGCACGAAAGTAGTCTATGACTTCACAGGGCGGACGTCGTATCATTTGTTAATAAAATTAATTATTGCTATTCTTAATGTATACCGTTATAAATATACGTAAAGAAACGTTACCGGCAACGCCATTGCACATCAGTCCAAGAACAGTTAGCATTCGCTGCTGAGTTGGCAGTATTGACAGCAACAACTCTGTAACTTTACTATATGTTGGATGGTACCGTAAATTCAAAGTGAAGTTTTGTAATGTATGTGCTTAAACGATATACTTAAATATTATTACTTAATGAACTATGAGCGGCCAAAAATTTCAATATGACGAAAGTGGTGGAACATTTTTCTACTTTTTACTTTCATTTTTGGCACTTCTCTTGATACCTGGGACATATTATCTTTGGCCACGTTGTCCGAAGCAAGGTTAGATCTGAATAAATCTATTCGATTTAACATAGAAACTATGTGACATTACGATAACGTTTCATATTCGTGGACATTATTCATCGGTGCATAGAATCTTGTTGTACTTCATTCTTATTTCTGTCAATACGTAATTATTTTATAATGTTATGATCGTAGCGTAATCGCTACGTAATTGTGAATGTTCCGTTACTAATTTATTAATGGCCTCAATAACAAACTGCAATACTACAAATTGTAATCAGTCATTTAAAGCAAACGATATTAAAATATTTCATGTCTTTTTAATACTATGATATTGCAATTTTCGGTTTAAAATAACATAATACACTTTGAAAGAGAATATTTATTTGAAGCATATGTATATCATTTTATAAAGAACAGTATTTTGTTTTGAATTTATACATACATATTATGCTCATAAAAATAATTACTAGTTTTTAATCATGAAGTCTGAAGGATTTCATAGAAATTCTTCCCTTAACAATTTTAATCTAGTTTAATCAATTCATGTAAATTATTGTTGCATCTGATACACTAAAAAGAAGCGGTAAATGAGTATATTGAATATATAAGATGTAATTAATATAAATACGTAATTATAAATTATAGTAAATATATTATTGCTCATAATTAGATCCAGATCAAGAGGCAAAAGAATGTCAATGCGATGGATGTAAAAAGAAAAAAATTATTTTACAACTTAATAAACCATGGAAAGAAACCAAAGCTTTATTTAAGTAAGTTACATTTACATTATTACATGCATATATAAATTTTAGAAAATATATTATATTATATTGTTTTAGAAAATTCCTTATTATATTGGGATGGGTAATTCTTATATTTCTGGCATACAAAGTATCACAATTTGACTATGAAATGGCCAATTTTGATCCATTTGAAATATTAGGAGTTTCTCCCGTAAGTATAAACAATATATTTATATGGAAGTCTTTTATTTATACAGCAATACACATGTATTTATAATATTATAATTATTTGCAGGGCTCATCGCAAAGTGATATTAAAAAAGCTTATCGTAAGCTTTCTTTGATTCTTCATCCAGATAAAGAAACTGGAAATGAAAAAGCATTTATGAAACTAACCAAAGGTTAATATTATGTGAAAGTAGTATAAAATTTACTAACTACTAACAAATGTGTGCTTGTGTACTGGCAGTTAATTATATAACCTAATCCAGTATATATTTTTTATGTGTAATAATTGCATCATATCTTAATATTACCTGTAAATATAAGATTTAGATACCATTAAAAATAATAATATTCACTTTTATATTATTAGCTTATCAGGCATTAACGGATGAGGAAGCACGGAGGAATTGGGAAAAGTATGGAAATCCAGATGGTCCAGGAGCAATGAGCTTTGGAATAGCTTTACCATCTTGGATTGTTGAAAAAGAAAATTCTGTATGGGTTTTGGGATTGTACTCATTGGTATTTATGTTCGCTTTACCAATTGTTGTTGGTACATGGTGGTATAAGAGTATTCGTTATACTGATGATCAAGTAAATACAAATTTAGTTTCGATAAACTTACTTCAATATTAATTACAAAAGAATTTAACATATTTATTATTCATTTTCAGGTACTGCTGGAAACTTCAGAAATGCATTACTTCTTCTTTTTGAAAACACCATCAATGTCATTGAAAAGAGTTATCATGGTTCTTGCTGCTTCTTTCGAATTTTATAAAAAACGAAACCCTGAAATAGTTGAAAGACATACAGACTATGAAGAAGTTTATTCAGTAAGGCAAAACTCACAGGATTTTTATCAATTTTTAATACATTTCATATAGCAATTGTATCGATTGATGTATATCTTGTAATAATTTATTTCTGTTTGTATTATTAAGAAATCCTTTACATAAAATTTAACATTTTAAATTAATTCACAAATTGTATAATACAAAATGATTCTTAATTTTTAGCTTATTAAGCAGTTACCTCATTTAGGAGTTAAAAACAAGGAAGAACCATTATGTAATTCTTATTCAATTAAAGCTAGAGCTTTAATACATGCACACTTATTTCGTATACCATTAAATCCGGAAACATTGGAAAAAGATAGACAATATATAGTAAAAAAGTGTCCATATTTAATTCAAGAAATGGTTACTTGTGTTAATAGAGTGATTGTATTAGCTTATGCTAGAAGAGGTATGTATATTTTAATAAAATGTAAATATGCATTTGTATAAAATAATTTTAGTACTAACAAGTATAATCTTAAATATATTTTTCTATCTTTCAGTCCCGCAATTACCCAGTATAAAAACTATAGAAAAATGTATGAAATTATGTCCTATGATAGTACAAGGTTTTTGGGAATTTAAAAATCCACTTTTACAATTGCCACATATAACTGAAGATAATTTGAAATGTTTCTTGGCAAAAAAGGTATAGTTAAATTTCAGCAAAATGACTTTGTTTCTGCATTTAGAAGATTCTTGTTATTTTCATCTACACTAATTACATTTTATTCTGTTAGCATCAAATCAGAAGTCTTCAACAATTTGCACAATTGAAAGGAGAAAAAAGAAGACTGATTCTTAGAAATTTATCAGACAGTGACTATGAAGATGTTATGAAAGTTCTTGGAAGTATGCCCTATATAGAATTTAAAGTGCGATCTGAAGGTGTGGTTTATATAATACTTACAGCATATTGTATATTTTTTCATTTAACACTTGCCTTTGTTCGAAAGTTAATAATTTTTTCTATAATTTTAGTAATTGATGATGAAAACCCCACAGTTTATACTGCTGGTGCTATTGTAACTGTAACGGTATCATTAACTCGTAAAGATATGAAACATTTGTTCGGGGATGATACGGTTAAAGAACAAACAATGCTCGATGATAATAAAGTAGGTACTGCCGAGGGTGGTGAAGAACCACCAGAAGAACAAAATCAAGTTGTAAAAAGGCCAGCGTGGCTTAGACAAAAGAAAGGTCAAAAGAGATCTCACAAAAAAGGCACTAGTAAAAAATCTGCTGCTATAAAAAATTCACAATCGCAAGCCCAGTCTGGTAATGAGAATGCTCAACAAACAAATACTCCTAATGCAAAGAAAAAAGAAGATAAAGTAGAAAAAGAGTCTTCCAAAGATAAATTGTCAGATATTAGTGACAGTGACATTGACAGTGATAGAAGTGATGATGAAGATAGTCACGATAAAAAAGATGTATCTGTCGATGATGATGATATGGAGTGGGAAAGGTAAAATTCTATTTAAAAACGAAATAAAATAAATAATAACTGTATGTATTATTAAATGTAAATAATTTATCTATACATTTATAAACAATAGGTTCCAGCAAAGAATTTCAAGGAGAGAGAAAGTTCTGGAAGGAAGGAGTAATTTATCACATGAAGTTCACTGCCCTCTCTTTCCAGATGTTAAACAAGAATATTGGTGGGTTTACATATGTGATCGCAAGAGTCAGACATTACTGACATCTCCTATTTTTGTCAAGTCATTATCACATTCTGAGGAAATTCAGTTAAAGTTCACAGCGCCAAGGTGGACAGGTGTTTATACGTTTACTGTATGTTTGCGCAGTGACTCGTACCTTGGCTTTGATCAAGCTCAAAATATTAAGGTATGTAATAATGTACACCTGACCCTCGATTTATGCGAAAATCCGTTCCACGTGGATTCATTTTGCTCGATTTTCATTCGCGTAAATAGTGCCTGTCGATACAAAAGAAATAATATTAAAAAGAAAAGCTGATACAAGTTTTAGAAATACATATTTATTTCACACAGCCAAACAAAAGAAATAATAATAATGACATTACAGAAAACAAAAGTACATTTTATTCAGTATTATTAAATTCAGATCGCGTATAAAAACCACGGCGTAAATCGATGGTCAGAAGTGCACTAATTTATTTATCGCGAATAGTAATTTTATAGAATGTAAATTGACATTCCACTATTACAAATCTATTTATAGTTGGACGTGAAAGAAGCACCAGAAGTACCTACAGAACATCCTCAGTGGGATATTTCAGACGAAGAAACTGCAGAAGATGTTGATGCAGCTGATGAACATTCCGAGTTCACAACTGATGAAGATATCAGTGACAATGAATAATATCTATTTGTCAAAATGGTTGAACAAATAATATCCAAAAACAGTCACGTTTTTCCTGTTTTTATTTTTACTTCTGAAATTAATGTACAATGAATTTTTATACGTGGAATTGCATAATCGTTGATGTATGTGGACAATCTAGAAAAATAGTATGGTGTGTAAGATTTCTCAGTGAAGAGGAAGTAATAGTAAATAAAAATCATAATATTTATTTTAACATTGTTGTTTAATCCTCAGTTTAGGATGTGTATACAATTTTTTAATAAAATGTATCGCAAAATAAAAAATTGTTATTTTCTTTTACATCTTAAATAAAGAATGATTTGCAGATAAAATACTAAACAATGTTTAGAAGTAAAGCTATTATTTTATAAGTGAAAGTATAGTAAGAACGATCCTGTGTCACATACTCGATCAACCATAACATTTTTTTTATATTCAAAGAATAAAAACCTGTTGAAACTGTAGCATTATGGCACAGTCAATATTTTACTCCTGTGATGAATACAATGAATTTTAAACTAACGAACATCTGTAACGTGAGTATATTTCAAACGAAAAATAAGCACACATCATACTTCAAGGATTCTTATTAAAAATCAATTTTTTCGTAGGCATTACATAAATATATTTTGATATATTTATATTTATATATCGCATTTTGTACAATTACTGATGGAGGTAAGTTTAGTATTTCTTAACATTTGAAATAATAAATATTTTTTAAAATGTTTCTCAAAAGATATACCTTATATACATTTTTAAAATTCGAATAAAGAATAGTAAAATACTTTAAGTTCAAGATATGTGCAAATATATATCTTTACATTTATAAAACATACTGTTCAAAATTCGTTTTGGTGTAAAGTAATAATGTTACTTAGAATTAAATTTTCTATTTAAATTTGATACAACATGATTATATTTTACATCACTCACGATGGTAACGTTTGTTTATATTTGTTTATACGTTTTATAGGTCCACTAAAATCATCCAGGAAGATGATGAAATGGAGAAGTGTGGCAAATGGACCTGTTTATACTTTTATTAAAACAGATAAACAAGCTAATATCAAATGGGGTGTGCGACATTATATTCCAAGAGCATCAACAATATCATAATAGAATGGAAACAATGATAAAGAAATAACTGTACAGTGTATTCAATTACATAAAAAAATTAATATTTTATATTTAAAAATAATAAGATACGATTAAAACAGAACAAAGCATTTCATAAAATAAAATATGAAGAATTACATACATTGCTGTTCCAATTAGGGTTCCAAACTAGCCATGTCCATGTACTTTTCTTGCATTTCAATCAGAAGGTTGTCTAATCTATTAAAGTAAAAAAGAAAAACACTTCATATTTCTGTTATTATTCTTATATTTTCTTATAAAAATTAAAAGTAAATATACTTACGTATAACGTATCACTAAATTGTCATATATTACATTATCTACATTTGTAACTTTATTACACGCAATGGATGACATATTTGGAAATTGATTATTACAATCTTCACTTGATATTTTCACATCATTATTTGTTAAAATATTAGTAGCCTCATTCTGCATGGCAACAGGTATATTTGTCTTTTTATCAGAAGAATTGCGTGCATTTTGTAAATTAAATTGTATTATACTTTGAAGTTCTTCACGATATACTGTTGTCATAGCAATAACCGAATCAAAAATTCTTTCCAATATTAAAAGTTCTACTTCTAATTTCTCTGTTTGTCTACAAAAATTAATTATTGTTCATTCATCTCATTTAATTATAAATACATATGAAAAAATATGAATTTTCCACTAGACATACTTTATAATTTCAAGAATATTTTGATTGTGGAATAATTTTTCTTTAGCATCTAAAAATTCAAAGATTAATTTCACCATTTTTATTGGTGCAGTAGGTACAAGAGAATGCTCCTTTTTATGCGATTCGTATATGGTAATTGCTTTATTATATCTGTATGTAACAAAAATATAAATTTATTTTCTTTATACCATATATAAAATTCGATGAAGCAACATTTACTTACAAGTGCGATATATCAGTTAGACAATCAATACCCTGCGCTTTATCCTTTAATTCATTACTTTCTTCTAATAATGGACTGAATTTTAATTTTATTTGATCTGTAGCCTTCACAAGCTTAATTACTTTTCCAAAATTGATTTCTAAACGTTTTATTTTTTCTTTGTTCACTAATTCTTTATTTGATTGTTCTCGAACTGTGGATAGTTCACTCATAAGAGTATTTACATTTGTCGATGCATTTGTTATATTTTCATTAAATGTATTAAGTCTTGTAATTACCAAATCTCTAAAATTTTATATTATTTCACTTATACATACGTTATTAAGTTTTGTAATAATTGCAAGAAACTGTAACATGTAGAATACTTACACTTTTATAGTCAAAGCAAAAATGTATAGTTCAAGTAAATGTAATTCTTGTTTTATAAAAAATGTTGCCATACGATAATAATCAGATAATGTATCAAAATTCAATAAACTTCTTGATAGTTCTATCATCTTTTGTATTGGCTTAGGAATATCTGATACAGGTATATTCCCGATTAAAGTACTTTCTTTTTTAAACATAAACAAAACTGGATCCTAAGATAAAATTACTAATATAAGTTAAATAATATCAAACAAGTATTTATTTAAAGTAAATACCTTTTTGTTCAAAAAACGTAGGTACATAACAGCATACCTGAATTTGTGACCAGAGTGGTTTCTCATTTGAAATGAGGATTTTCCCAAAATAATTTGTTAAAATTTGTTGATTTATGGGTATATTGAAGTCTTTTTCAATCATAGTCTGTACACCAGTCACTGTGGTAATGTCATTTATTTCATATGTATTAAGCTTGTATGTTGATGCCGAAAATACATGTACTATCTACAGAACAAGAAATGTATGTCATAAATAAAGAAAATATACAGAGATCATTATATATTTATTTATAATTGAGTACTGGAGTGTTTAATTATATAATGTTTGAATTGTCATGTAAGAACATTTTATCATGCATTTTATTAAATAATAATACATTAGAATATATACCTGTGTAGACAGAATGGAACGAAGTAATTTAAATGCAACCAGTTGCATTACACCATTTTCATCGCATTTCTTTCCCCTCTGTTTTGGATCCCATTGTAGCATTACTCTAAACCATTCTACCAATTTGTTTCTAAGACATCTAATAAATAAACTGATTAGTTAGAATCACTTATTTGCCACATTTTAGTTTATAAAAATATCTTCATTTTTACCTTGACAAATTTGTAGGATCCATAATATTTTGACCAAAAATTATTTTTCCTTCTGATTCAAAAGCACAAATATCCTCATATCCTTTATCTTTTATATACTGTATCCTGTATGAATGAAATAAAATTAAAAGTTCTATAAATTGTTTACATTACAAAACAATGAACACGTATTATACCATGTTATAGTGGTAATCCATGGTAGAAATGGTCTTCTACCAGTCACAAGTTCGTAAAATAAAATACCCAAACTCCAATAATCTACAGAACAGCTATATTTCTGTTTCCAAAGGAGTTCTGGTGCTACATAATTTAATGTACCTACTATAGATGCGGATGAACTTGCTTCTCCCAATTCTTTTGCATATCCGAGATCAATTAATTTATATGAAATCTACGAGATATTTTCTGTATATAATATTATTTGTGATTGCTGTTTTTAATATGTATAAGAAAAATTAACCCTGTGGCTATGGTTGGCACCTATAAGTGCCAGAAAAATGTTATTGTCAATAATTGCAGCAAAGTTTGCTTAGATCAGACTTAAATGAATTCTAATTCAACAATTACATCTTCCATAAGTCATATATTATATAAATGTGATTATTTTATATTGATTTAATTTAGCTCAATTCAATGTTTTGATGGTTTAAATACATTCTTTTATAAATGCATGTTGATGCAAAATTCTGACATAGCCAAGGGGTTAAATATGTAACATGTCATAGAACTTACTCCATCATGTTCATCTTGTAACACAATATTTTCTGGTTTTAAATCACGGTGTGTAATATTGTTGGAATGTAAATATTCAACAGCAGAAGAAATATTCTTCATTGCAACAATTACTTCCTTTTCGCTCATACCACAACAATTTTCTGGTTTGTTTAAAATCTATAGTTCATGCAATACTGATAATATGAATATAAACTATATCAATTTTAAACCAATAATTATATTTTTATAAATTACCGTTCTAAGATCACCTTTCCTACAAAATTCCATACATAATAATGGCAATTCTATTTTTTCATCAGGATATTTAAAAGGTAATTCTATACTTTTTACAATATTTGAATGCTTTAGGTGATTCATTATCTGAACTTCATTTATCCACCGTTTTCTTTGTGTTTCTGTTAATTGTGACATATCCCATTTACATTTTTTAATTGCTACAATTTAAAGAAAAGTAGTTATTTTCCATTGTCATTTTAAAAGTAAAATATTTTGTTATACTTTAATAGTGTTACTTTGAGAAATGTCAAAAAATTAAATTATGAAATTTTTTTATAAATATTTATTTGTTTATAAAATAATATACATACCAAGTTTACTACCACTTGTATGAGTCCATAATTCGACAATGCCAAATCCCCCTGAACCAAGAGTTTTATTAAATGTCCAATTTCCAACTGATGCAGCAATCATATTGAATGTGTTCGTTACAAAATTAAGTTGTAAACAAATTTTACAAACTTTATGTTAAATTACGAACAGCTTAAAATGTTAAGTAGTATTTTTTACATTTTACTCATTTATTGCAAATGTCAGTGTCGTGAGGATAAAAAATTATTTCTTTCTCAATTTCCTGCGTCGCCACCGTAATGACGTTTACAATGTTAGAATATTTCTTTACCCCACTCCATCCACCTAAATGTATGAGCGCGTGAATACAGCTGTGTATCATATTTACTTACGCATATGTAGGTCCTTATGTGTGAATGAGAAGACAATGTTGTCGCAAACTTGTATAATATAAAAATTATCCAATATTCATGCAAAATAATACTGGACTCTATTAGAGTGATATTTTTGACAAAATTATTTGACTTCTGCAAGAGAATAGCATAGTTTTTAAAAGATTGAATTTATTTCGAATGCATTGAAATGTTCATTAAAAAAAAAAAAATTTATTAATGAAATATGTTGC